GGGGGGGAGGGGGGGAAGACTCCCTCCCTTTCCAAACATACACACTTCCTGCCCCTCAGGAGCTGGGAGCCGCCTGTGGAGGAGGAGGGAGGGGGAGGAGGAGGAGGAGGGGGAGGAGGAGGAGGAGGGGGAAGTCCCTGCCAAGGTCTTGGAAACCCTGAGTAATGGACAGGGGAGCCTCTGCCCTGCTCCACCCAGTGATGGCTGCTGTCTGCAGCGGGGAGCAAGAACCACACACGTGGGAGGAACGGATTTCTTCAACAGATGCTGAAAGAGAGCCCAGATTCTGAAGTTGGCAGAATTCGGGCTCAGAAAAGAGTAAATAATAGTGTATTATTTGTCATATAATATTGTCTTGTATGTAATATATTGCTGCTATATTGCGTTGAGCACCTAGCATGTGCCAGGGACCACTGCACAATGTGTCTCATTTAACCCCTACAACAAGCCCAGGAGGTAGGTATTCATGTTATAGCCACTTCCTTTCTTTGTTAGTATATGTGGAAATAAAACCAATAGTAGTTCAGTGCTTGAGAGTTTCTGCAGGTCAGCTTATCCCGGAATAGTATACCCACTTTCCAGGTAAAGATACTGAGGCTCCAGGAGATTAAGTCACTTGCCCAAGGTTGTCAGTAAAGAAAGCCCTTTCTCGGGAGATTTCCGTGAATGGAAGGCCTCTGGGTTTCCTTCTTTCCTTCACCAACCCCAAGTTTTCATGGTAGCCCAGCCTCCCTCCGTTGCCCCTTCAAACCTTCGTGCCTGTTACCTCCTTCCCCTGGACATTCCTTCTCCCTTTTATTCTCAGTCTTCCCCATCACCTCCACTTCTTTGAGCCCTAGGCCCCTCAGCCCCAGAGGCTGAGGGATATCTGCGCAAATAAATTGTGCTGCTGCACTTAGACCACTAACTCAGGCAGGTTAAGGGAAAGCAAGTTCTAGAGTTCCTTCCACAGTAACAACAAAACTCCTTTTTCCCAAGAAGAGTGGTTATGTGCTTAGCAGCGCCTCCTCTGTGCTCATGCAAACACATGCACACAGATACCCCCCAAACCAAGAGTCCCAGTTGCGGTCCCAAAGAAGGAAGACATTTCCAGTGGTTCCGGGTTATCTTACAGCAGAGTGGGCAAGCTTGCGAGGCACTGAGCCTCCCATCTCTACAAATGTCACAGCACAGGCTGGATGTCCCCTGTCCGATGTGGTGCCAAAAGAATTCCTGGGTCCCCTTTGGCTGACTTGCTCAGAAATCAATTCTAACCCGCCATTCCGGCTACGTTGCTGTACGAATACAGTTCCTGTCGGTAATCAGACGGAATTCAGGGTTAGTGTGTAAGTTTCTTGTCAATCTCTGAAGAGAAATACTATCGAGGTGGCTGATGTCAATAGGAGAAGGAGAACGGACTCTCAGCAGAGCCAAGTGGGAAGACAGCTTCCTGGTTGGGGAGGGAGGGATACGTCGTCATGGGGGCAGTGTTGCGAGGTGGGGGGGGGGGGGGCCTGTCCTTGTAGAGAAAGGAAAGGGAAAACAGTGTCTTGTGGATTCTGGGGGCACCTGCAGCTGAAGACTCTAACATGGGGAGGTATAAGGGAAAGCCAGCTCCCAGAGTCCCAAGGGCCTGGCAGGGGTCGCCAGAGGTCTTATCTCCCCCTTGGAGCTCATCTCAGCCCTCTAGATTTCCTGCCTTCAAGGATTGCTTCCTGCTCAAGTGAGGCCTTGAGTACGTCATACTCAGATGAGGGGCCCCCTCCACCCAGCATTTTGAGGCCTGGACACGGGTGTGGGGACCCAAAGGTGTATGAAGGATCCTTCTTCCTAGCTCCAGGACTTAACACCCTCCTTCCCAGAGTCCATCACAAGAATTAAAAAGTGGGGTTACTATCTCATCCCTCAGGGAAAGAACGAGCTGCCCAAATGAGCCAGGGCTCTATCTGTGAAACCACCTGTGGCACAGGATCCGGGGGAGATCGGGGTGCGGTGGACTTCCAAAGAGCCTGCTCCGGCCAGGCTTGGTAAAGCCACAATGGCTTCTTGGGGTGTCTGCCCCATGAGTATGATGTCCCCTGAGGTTAGGAGGCATGGCTGGCACCTTAGGGCTCATTTGTTTTGGGACTTTGAAGGACCGAAACAGGATAGTCTTCCCTTACAGGATATTCCTCCCACCCCAGAGGGGGGACCACAGAGTGGGGTGGGTACCCTGACTTGTTGTCCACTTGGCAAGTGATTTTGAGAGATCCTTCACAGGGACAGGCGAGATCAAAGACGACTACAAGTCCCGGGGCACCTGGAGGATGCAGTCGGTTAAGCATCGGACTCTTGATTTCGGCTCAGGTCATGATCTCACAGTTCATGTGAGTTCGAGCCCCACGTCAGTCTCTGCGCTGGGATTCTCTCTCTCCCTCTCTCTCTAGCTCTCCCCTGCTTGTGAGCATGCTCTCTCTCTATCTCTCTCTCAATAAATAAACAAACTTAAAACAAAAGGGCGACTAAAAGTCCTAATCCGTTAGGAAATGCCAGTTAGGAAGAAAGATATACATAAAAAGAAAAAATGCTCTATGGTGCAACTTACACAACAGACACCAAGTCTACAGTCAACCATGAGACAGGAGCAAGGGACTGAGGGGGCCTAAGTGAGGAATGCTTCAAGGTCTTCACCTTTGAGTGGGCTTTTGGTAGAATTTTTATCGGGCTGAGAGGGGTCTGGCAAAGTATTCTGGGTGATGGGAATAGCATTCAAACAGCCTGGAATCGGCAAGCCTAAAGCAGGAATCTGGGATGAGGGTGTTAGCTGGGAGGTATGGGGGAAGAAGGGATGGGATTCTAATGCTTCCTCCCACCCCCATGATCTTTTCCTAATCCTGGAAGGCCCCTCCCCTCCTCTCTCACTTTTTTTTTTTTTTTTTTAAGAAAGATGGGTGAACTCCATCTCCAAACTGTGTCTGAGACCCCGCCAGCAGGGGACATTGGTGGTACAGAGGAGGAGGAGAAAACGGGGTGTATGTAGAAGGACACCCTCCTTGCCTTCTGCCTGTTTGCTGTGTCTCTCTGTCTCTGACTCCCGCGCAAGGGTCCTGGTCTCCTCTCTGCCTGATCTCTCTGCCTCTGGCCCTCTCAGGAGTCCTCAGCCTCTGCCTCCTAGTGCCCATCTCTACCATTCCCGCCTCCTGCCGTCTCCCTTCTCATCCTCACCTGACTCCGCCTCCTCCTTTGCTCAGAATGAAGACTCTCCTCCAAGTGCCCGGGGAAACAGTTGGGGTGGGGGCTAATGCCTGGCCTCCGTTCTCCAGGGAGCAGGCCCTGTGGTGAGAAGATGTATATTCCTCCCTGTGCCTTCTCTGGGCCCCGCATCTCTGGGTACATCCCGAGGACAAAGGTGATGCCCCATTCCCGGCCCACCCCAGTCTCCCGCTCTGCCCCTCAAAGCCTCCCCTCTTCCTCCTCCAAGGAGGACCCACCATTTGGGGGGAAGAGCCCCCAGTGGAGACTCAGTCAGCTTCCCACTCGAAAACCCTCAAGATAGGGCTGGGGTTTCCTCCGGGGTCCAGACCCCAGGCCTTCCCTGAGGAATCTGGCACCTCCCAGGCCCTGTGACAGCTGGACAGCTGGCCCCTTACCAATTCGGTCTCTGATTTGTACCAGAAGGCCCACCAAGAACTCTCCTGTCAACACGCACCTTCTTTAACGGAGGCCCCCTCCCTAGGTACACGTGACAGCTCCTCGCCCCGGGGCCCCCCCCCCCCCCCCCCGCCGCCTTCAAAATAAATATTTTTGCCAGATTAGCAACAGTCTGCCTCTTTTTTCTGCCCCAAAAGAGAGAGGGGAGGGGCACAGCTGCAAGCCCTTTCAGGTGCCTTATTTCATTTCATCTTTGCACTAGCCCCCAAACGTTGAAAATATGTCAGCTTTTGTAGATGAGGAGACTGAGGTCCGAGAGCTGGTTCCTTGCCGAGGCGGCAGAGTGGAGATCGGATCTCAGGTCCGAGTCTGAGGCCCACAGTGATATCTGGAGGTAGATCAATGACAGTACCATGGACAGGAGAGCAGGACCCTGCGAAACCTTGATCTCTCGCATTTGGGGCCCGCTTTAATCTGCCAGGTTGCCTTTGAAGACTTGGGGCCAACTGCCCTCAATATCCCCACCCTGAAACCTCATCCCCCCCATATGTTGCTAAGGCCACGACATGCAAATTGGACCGCCCCCCATACACACACCCCCAATTCTCCTGCCCAAGACACAGATGAAGCAATTAGGTCTCTTCTCCCTTAGCATTACCAGGACCTCCTTCAAAACCCAGTTCATAACCAATTGCAGTATGTGGACCTAATTGGAATCCTGATTCAAATAAGCTGACGGGGAGATCTATTGGACACAAGTGAAACTTTGACCACTGGATGTTTTCTAACAATATAATTTTTAGAACAGCTTTAGATTTACAGCCAAACTGAGAAAATAGTAGAGGTCTCATACACCCTGCCTCCCACCCCCCAGTTTGCACTATTGTTGTTCACATTGTACATTTGCACGGTGAATTTGTTATAAATAATAAGCAAATATTGATAAATTATTATTAAAAAAATTTTTAATGTTTTTATTTATTTTTGAGACAGAGACCGACAGAGCATGAGCAGGGGAGGGGCAGAGAGAGAGGGAGACACAGAATCTGAAGCAGGCTCCAGGCGCCGAGCTGTCAGCACAGAGCCCGATGCGGGGCTCAAACTCACGGACTGTGAGATCATGACCTGAGCTGAAATCGGGCGCTTAACCGACTGAGCCTCCCAGGCGCCCCTATAAGTTATTACTTTTAAAAGGTTGTTTATTTATTTTGAGAGAGACAGAGACAGCGCCAGTGGGAGAGGGGCAGAGAGAGAAGAGAGAATCCCAAACAGGTTCCTCACTGTGAGTGTGGAACCTGATTCGGAGATTGAACTCACAACCATGAGATCATGACCTGAGCCGAGACCAAGAGTGGGAAGCGTAACCGAATGAGCCACCTGAGCGCCCACATAAACCTATACTGATACATTATTATTAACTCCAGGCCATGGTTTATTCAAATTTCCTTGGTGTTTACTTAATATCCTTTCTGCTGTGCCAGGATCCCATCCTGGATACCACATTGCATTTAGTTGTCATGCGTCCTTAGGTTTCTCTTGACCATGACAGTTTCATAGACTTTCCAGGTTTTCCACGACCTTGACAGTTTCCAGGAGTACTGGTCAGATACTTCGCAGAATGTCCCTCCATTGGAATTTGTTGTCGTTTGTCAAGATTAGACTAGGCGTGGGTTTTGGAGAAGAAGATCGCAGAGGTCAAGTACTACTATGCTTATGACTGTTGGCGTTGACCTTGACCAAAAGACAGAGGTGGTGTTTGTGAAGTGTCCCACTGTAAAGTTACTCTTTCCCAACCTTCCATACGTGCTCTTTGGAAGGAAGGCACTATGGACAACCCACCCATAAGCAGTGGGGAGGTTATGCCGTTCCCTCCCTCGCGGGTAGAGTAGCTATAAATTATTCGGAATTCTACATGTGAGATTTCTCCCCTTTCCGCTATTTATTTATTCAGTTTATATCAGCATGGACTTGGGGATCTTTATTTTCTACCTTGGGTAATAATCCAATACTCCTATACTGTGTTGCTTAAATTGTTTCAACTTTGGCCACTGGGAGCCATTTCAGTTGGCCTCTGTGTCTCTTTGACATATCTCCACCGATGGGGGATTTTTGTTTTCGCTTTTGTTTTGCTTCAGCACGCCCATGCTTCCTGGCACTCTAAGACACTCCAAGTTCAGCAGGTGTATGTCTTGCCCCAGTCCTAGAATCAGCCATTTCTCTAAGAAGCCCTGCTCCCTTTTCCTGGAGGGTGGTATTGGGAACCCAAATCTGGGTGCTAGGTGTATTTGTTGATGCCGGGGTTAAAGACTTAACTTTTAATGTTTTCTGTGATCATCGTATTGAAGATATTTTTTAAAGAGCCCCCTTTTCTAGATGCATAGGAAATATTTATGGCTGAGATATGTCTGCCATTTGCTTCAAAGTCACGTGGGAAGAGATGGGGCAAGATGGGCCATGAATTGCTCCTTGTTGAGGCTGGATGATGTGATTCATAGGGGCTCTTCACGCTGTTCTGTCTACTTTAGTGTATGTTTGAAATGCCTGGAGTAAAATTTTAAAGCAACGAGGCGAAATTCAGTCGCGATCACCTCCTCTAGAAGCTGCTCTTGATTACTCTTACATGGCACGCCTTACTCCTGCTGGGCGTTTCTATCCCTTTTAGAGTGGAGCCCTGCTCTGTGG